CCCCTCCCCACAACAGACACCCTGTGAGGTCGGTGGGGCTGAGAGAGCTCTGACAGAATCTGCTCTTTTTTCAAGAACAGCTCTTATCAGAACTACGGCTTGCCCAAGGTGGAGGAGTGGGGGAATCAAACCCGGTTCTCCCAGATCAGAGTCCGCCTGCACTTAACCACAACACCATACTGGCCAGAGAGACCGCATCCTGGTCCCCTCTGTGCGAGGGAATGCGCCCTGGAATCCGGCTGTCCCTGACCAGGGCTCACCGCCAGAGACTCAAGGAAGTGCCCTGAGGCAGCACACTGGGAGGGGTGTGGGGCACGATGGGGCAGCGGGGGCGTTTGCTGCCCCCCTTCAGAGGAAGACTCGAGACCCTGGCACAGGCGGTCACCCATCTGCTTGGTACTCACCAATGCGGTAGCCGTCGGAGAGGCCCTGGGCCTTGGCGGTCTGGCTGGCGACCACCAGCAGGTGCCCCAGGAGCTAGGGAGGGAGAAGGGGCAGGTGAAGCCACAGGGTAGACACAGGACATACGCCAAGAAGCCGAGCCCCGGGATGAACTGCTGAGCCCACCTCCACAGGTGCAGCAATGCATTTTCCTCTCATCGGGTGAAACCACTGCAATGGGGGGCCCCCGGCCCAATACAGCAGTTCCTTCCCAAAAAGACAGCCCCCACCAACAAAACCCACTGCTGTGATTTTGGCAGAGACATTTCATTACTAAGTATATAAAAGTGGCTCTCTCCACCCACCCGCCTCACCCAATCAAGCCTGCCTCCCTCCACAGAGAAGGAAGAGCAACCCCCCCCCCCAAGATGGAATTCCCTGTCATTTTAAGGAAACCTTCCGGGGGGGGGGGGGGAGTACAGGAATTTCAGCGTCCTCCCGTTCCTACTCTCTTTTGACAGGGGAATGTTGCCTGATGGTATTTTTGAGATGGGCAAAACCAAGGCATCTTCTCTGATCAAAAAGTGAGTCCTGGAATCGACCCCATGTCAGTTTTGCAAGGGAGATTTCTGCATAGGCCCGACACTGACAGAAGGTGCCCTCCTTGTGGCCTTAACGGGACGGATACCTCCTTTCACACCCTGCTGGAATGCAGACTTTTTGAGGGATTACTATAGTAAGCCTTTATTCAACCAATCGTCCCCCTAATACTCCGGAAACCCTGGCTCTTTTACTGAGTGAAACGGAGCCCAAGATCACTCTAGCAATTCCAATTGCTTGCTTCGTTACAGCATAAAACATGCCAAAAAGCAAGGGAAGAAGCAACAACCCTGGGTCACTAGGTCAAATACGGATAGGTTAAATGTGAATTTCTCCGCATGCCCCCTTCCTGGACTGCCCTCTGCTGTCTGTCTCCCTGACTGTCTAAATGTAGATTAGAAGTTCCTTGAGACACAGGCCTCAGTTTTTTTGTACTGATTTGTAGTCCACAGATCATAGGTGCACTTATTTTGCAACAAGAATAGTACACCACAATCTGCAAATTTTAATTAAAAAAAAAGACTACTTCCTTTGGTTGGGACAAGGATGGCAGTGCTGCCTCCCCCTCCTCCTCCTCCTCCTCCAGTGGGCTTAAGTCACTGGAGTTCCTCTGCACAGGACGGTCCTATCAGGAAGGTTTCCCCTCCTCTCCTCCCACCCTTCCTGGCTGCTCAAGCTTGTCCTCCGCTTGTTTACTTGGTTGTAAATTAAGCCCTGTGGAGCTCGTTCTCAAATAAGCATGCACACAGGACTGCTGTCTGCTGATTTTTTATTAGCAAAAAGTATTAGCATTGTGTGCAGAAATCAGATTAAGTGGAAAACTTAGAAAGAAACCTGAGTGTACTACCCACTGGCTGGGGGAGGGCTGGGGGTATCCCCCCCACCACCACCATCCCATTTTCCCAGGTTGAGCACCCCTGGGACACCTCTGCAATTCCACAAAGAATTTGCACCCCCTAAAATGAAGTGAATTCTAGGGATGCATGGGGGGTGGGGTGGGTCAGCACACATCTGAGGGTAGACTGAGCAGAGCTCAACGTTATTTGCTTTGATGTTTGGCATTCTTATTTTCTTCACATTTTCATCTCTTTCTGCCCTTTAACAGGATACTCAATGCGAACGTTTTTAAGGTTTTCTGCTTAATTTATTGTCAAACTCCCTGATGAAGGACGTGTAAAAATAAATGCACAAAAGTTTCAGAGTGAAGGATAAGGAACTCTCTCACTGCACCCCTCCCCTCTTGCTT